ATTATTTCAAAAATATTTAGGAGTTGACTCAATGACACCATGGGGTGTTATACATGGTGGATGCTGCGGATTGAGGAGGAAAGTCAAAGAAGAAACTATAGAAGAACTCTACAAGAAGGTGCATTCGCCTGACGAGGAAGCTAGGTCAGCAAACCCTTCACCTAACATGGAAGCTGATTTAAAAACGCTCAAAAAAAGAGTTGAAAATATGGAAAAATTTAAGCGTTACATTGAAAATAACTTTGTTAACACAAGAGTCTATGAAAAAATTAAAATGCAGCAACCACAACAGCAAGAAGGGGATGTGGATCAGTGAAAACCTATAATTAATTAATTTAGGGATAAATTTGATCTGCAGACGTCCTTCAAAATTTTGTCAGTGTGTACATGTACTTATTAGGCATCTTTTCCTCAATTTGGGGATCAACATTGATTTTACATGTATTATTTTATTAATTTAGATTCGAGTATACTACGTACGTACATGTCATGTAAAGAAGTAACGTAAGATGAAAAAATCAATACGTACAACATACATATATATGACAATACGCATTTCTAAACTACGTATTGAGTATTAGAAGATTCATACGATAAACGACAGTACAAGTTCTTAAAGAAGTGACGAAAGTTGAAAAAATCAATGCATACAACATACTCATATGACAATACGCATTTGTATTCTGTACTACTGAGTATATTAATACGCATTTAATAACTATAACAAGTAACGATTACACTGTATACATGTATAACAATGACCCTTTTTATGTAAAGTGCATAGATTCAATGTTTTGATGCTATTTGTATTCATCCTGGAAGTTTTGATCTGCAGATGGTATATTACGTAATTATCAGAGGGGGAGGGGGTCTCAAAATCTCACCTTCCACATGATCAAAATAATTAGCCAATTAAATATAATAAAAATCACACCTGGGGGTATAGTAACTCAATATTGGGTAATATGTGTCACTCCCCTAATAGAAATGCATAAATTTTTGGCAAAACAAATCCTACACAAGAAATGAAAAAAAAAAACAAAAAATGTGAAAAATACGGGAAACAGATGTTGAAATCTAGATTTGCACTCTAATAAAAAATCTCGGGAAGGCAATTTTTCATATAACCTTGATCTCAGCTCTAACCTTAACCTTAATACTAACCTTTAAATTAACCTGTAACAATAATCTCTATTATCTTAGAATTTTTCCGGACATACAATACTACATATTGATATAGCGTAATACACAAAACTTCCCACGACAAAGATAAGGTTTTCTTTAATTACCCAGGACGCATACTTTACAAATAGTATCAAAACATTAAGTCTATGCACTCTTTACACGACTAGGGTCATTTTCATATACAGTACACGTAGTCGTTATTTGTTATAGTTATTAAACATTAATATATTTTGATGCGTATACGTTTATATAGTATAATTTTTTAATACCAGTGGTGTGATAAAACGTAAGTACATGTATTAACAAATTATACGCATATACACATTAAAATATTTAATTACGATAATAAAATAATAACTATAACAGTTAGAATAATGCAACAAATTATAATATATGTATGCATATACGCGTCAAAATATATTGATATTTAATAATAAAATAGTAACTATAACAAGTAATGACTATATAAATCATATTATTTCCTAGATATCAACACCATATTCACGTGCTTTGACGAAATTGGATAATTCAATTCTTTGACTTTTGCTTGACATTCACGAAGAGCAAGCTTATGCTCTTCAAGAACCAGTAAACATTCTTCTGCATCAAATCAAATTGAGTATTTTCTTTGCTTGCTTGTGTTTCTTGATTATTTTTGTTTTGCAACTTGTGTTTTTTTTTCTTTTGATTATTGTTTTCATTATTTGAATGTTTTCCAGTTGATTTGGAAATTGCATTTGCTAATATAAATTAAAATATTAGTTTTAAATTAAAAATATTTAAAATCAAAGTAATTTTTTACAATTTCATTTAATTGCCAATTTATTAAACCATGATCATGACCACTATCTGTAATGTTGAATTGATCTTTAACTTGAATTGAATTAAATTGTCTTATATCTAATTTCTTTCCTCTAAAAAAATAATTAACAATTTAATAGTTTTAAATATTAAGTACAAAATTTACTATATAACAGCAGTTAATAATTTTAAATATTTTTCTTCATAATTGCTCATGACATGAACAGCTTCTGCAGCATTTGTATTATTTGGTGCAACTTGCCATATATTATTTATTAAGAGCAATTATATAATTTTGATAAAAATTAATCCAATTTAATAATAATATAAAATTATTGAATATAATTATAATTATTTTATTATATATACAAATATTCTTTAAACAAAGTTTGAACAGCTTTAGAACTTTTGGCATCAAATATAAAGATGGATCCTCAACTATTTAATTATATTATAATAGTTGAATTTTTTAAAGATAGTTGCAACATTAGTATTGCAATTAGTCACAATTACATTATTAATAATGTTATCAATTTTGATCAATTAAGATTTGTAAAAATTTATAATTAATAAAAAAATTAATTTAAATTTTTTATTTAAATTTTTGTAACTAAAAATATAAAGTATTATATATCAACTTGTAGCTAAAAAATTAGAGCTACAATTTTATTTATAAAATTAATATATTGTATTTATTAAAAATTAAAACATGACTTAGATATAACTAAAATATTTTTATTTTTAATATATAAAATAATAACAAATAATAACAAATATGTTTTTTGCTTATATTTTAATAAGAAATTATTTAAAAATTATGAAAATTTGCAAATATATTTTTTAGAATAGAGTTGGTATTTTAATTATTTTACTTATTAATTAGCAACCAAATTTTTAAATATAGTAATTAAATTGCTAATCAATACTCAAAATGATCAAAATGCTAATCTTACTTTAGGATATTGGAAACAAGTTTTATAATACAGTAAAGTATATTAATATAGTAAAATTTTGTGATATTTTATGTTAAATATAATGAATTAAAATTTTTAATATTAAATTAAAATAAAAATATTTTCAATAAGAAATTTTGAAAATATTTTTATAAAAATATATTTTATAATATAGAAAATATATTTGTAATTTTAAAAAATTTTAATTAATAAATATCATTTAAAAAAATTTATTTAATAAATTTAAACATTATTTTTATTATATTAATATATTAAAATAAAGTTTTTTTTGAATATTTATAAATATAGATATATTTTTATATTATAAAATATATTTTCATAAAATTATTTTTAAAATTGCTTATTGAAGATATTTTTAAATAAATTTTATTTTAATTAACATAAAATTACTATAATAATATATTTTGTGATATTAAAAAACTTGTTTTTAATATTCTAAAAATATATTTACAAATTATTATATAAAAATTTATATGTAAGTATAATAATTATAATTTTTATTAAATTTTTTAATATTAATTATAATATATAATATTACAATTAAAAATGATTAATATAATAATATATCACAATAATATGATAATATACTATAATTTAATAAGTTAATATAGTATATATATAATATTCTAAATTTATTAGCTTAATTTTACTATATTAGTTTATTAATTTATTAATTATTAATATAAAAAAATTTTTAGTTATAATATAGTTGTGACTAAATTTTTATTATTTGTTTTTTATATTAATAATTAATAAATTAATAAACTAATATAGTAAATTTATTAAAATTAAGCTAACAAATTTAGAATATCATATATATATATATATATACACTATATTAACTCATCAAATTATAACATATTATTATATTATTGTGGCATATTATTCTGTTAATTATTATTAATTACAGATAGTTATAGCTAATTGCAGATAGTTACAACTAATATTACAACTCAGAGTTGCAACTTGTCATAATACTATAATTATTTATAATTATTTATAACTAAAAATAATCAATATAATAATTTATATATTTAGTTTTTTTATTAAATATAATATATAATCTTTATTCTATAATATATAATCTTTATTATAATAAAATATAAAATATATAATTATTATTCTTTTAAATCAAATATATAATAATTATTTTTATTATATTAAATATATATATTTATAATTTTTTCTATATCTTTTTTTCATTTTTTTAATATTAATTTTTATTTTATTATTATATTTATATTTAATTTATCTATTACTATTTTTTTTAGTAAAAATAATAAAATTAAATTTTTAATTATTAGTTTTGAATTACAAAATATGATGAAAGAAAATTTTTATTAATATGTAAATATATTATATATTGTTACCATTTTAATGAGACTTTCAAAATACTTAAAGATATTTATAAAATTTTAAGAAATATTCAAAGAGAAACTTCCAATGTCTTAATGACAATTCAAAGTCTTAATAATACTTTATAGCTTTAGACTGAATATAAATTAAAGTACGACAAGTACTTATAGAATTACTTAAAGATTGGTAACAGTTATATTCTTTAACGCAATAACTGGACTGCTAAAAAGAGTTCCCAAAATCTCAATGTTAAATATAATATATGTATTAAAAACATCTTTAAATCTTTGAAGTCAGAATATAAGATATAATATTTGTATTATTAACAATACGAATTAAAGATAAATGTATTGAACAATATATTATTAGCAATATAAAGTCAAAGATAAGTTTATGAGCAATGTATTATTAGCAATACAATCTCAAAGACGGATTTATGAATTATAATAGTAATTTTTTTATTTAATATAATATTCAATAAACTTTGTCACAATGTGTTCAGAGAGTCTAGGATAAAGATGATAACTTTATAGTGCTTCTGGCAAGACTGCTTAAGCTACTATAATATATGTTGATTCAAGGTCTGTATAACTTCTTATAAAGCTATTATACAAGAAACAAGAATACTTTGTCAAAAGAGTGTAGAGAGAAGTTTGCGCTTGATTACCTACTCTATATAAAGTGCAAACTACTTTTCTTTGAATGATCAAAACTACATGATAACTAATTAGACGTAATAATTGAAAATTACTATCTAAAAGAACTTGTTCATATCTAATTCTAAAAACTATAATACATATTGCTTTTATACAAATCCAAGATATAATTTCTAGGCTATACAAATTCATATTCGCTATATCACTTAAATTCTATTGATTTAATATTCATTCGCTCGTTCATTCACTCATTCGTTTAGTTATTCATTTATTTGATTGTTTACTTGTTCACTCGCTTGTTCGCTTGCTTTATGTAATATGATCTTTATCCAATAATATATAAGATATTTATAATCCAATAATAAAATATTATAATAAAAGGTCATTATATAATAGGACTCTCGCTCTTAAGATTTTGTTCCATAAAATAAAATATAAAACGATATAAATTATAAAAGATAATATATAAAAGAGAAGTAAATAAATAATTGTCCATTATTCTATTAATAGCTGGTGCTATGTGAGATGTGTAATGCGATTCTTTCTTTTAATTGGTCACTGGTTTTTTGATTGATTTTTCCAATCGTTCCTGGAGTTAATTGTTTATCCATTTTATAAGATCGAAGTATATTTTTGTGACCCTTGAAATATTGATATATTCTTAAGATTAAAGCATGTTTAGAAGTGACGTCAACAATATTTATCTTTTCTTTGAATAATTGTCTAGAGTCAGAATGCTATCTTCTAGTTAACTTATAATTACTGGTAAGATTTGATAGTATTCTTCCAATTTCATAATAGACTGATGATATTGTGTATTTATTATCTTTCAATAATTCTCTATAAGTTTCTAACAATCTTTCAGTTGATAAAAATCTTGGTGGTTGTTTTGCTAATTGATTATCTTTCAAAGCATCCTTTATACTATTGATCACGTCTTCTTCTAATAGTGTTCAAGTTTGATAGATTCTTGTTGAATTTTCTTCAGAAATTGATATTTGTTGAACTGATTCTATTGAACTTTCAAATAATTATTCTAATGTCATATCAATTTCTAGTATTGTAATTAAATTCAAATTTTCTTCTTTTTCAAAGTCAAAAAAATTAAAAGAATCAATATTATATACTAATTCAACTAGTATTTCAATAATATTCGTTGAAAATTATGATTCTTCATTAGTAATCTCTATTTTAACTTCTAAATATAGTTGTTGTAGTTTTAAATATAATTCATTTGTTAATAATATAATTTCGTCAGGGATATTTATAAAAGACATAATAAAAAAGAGTAAAGTATACAAATGAAAAAATAGAGAAAAATTAAATTTTTATAAAGATTTTGATGATTTTATATATTTTTGATTTTCAGAAATATAAAAGTTAATATTAAATACTAAATTAAAAATTAAATTTAAAAAGAAGCAATAATCAGATAATTATTTATTTAAGAGATTTGAATCATAAAATTTTTTCGATAGGTCATATGATCAGAAATCTTCTACATTTCTAGATCCATATAAGAGGCTGATTTTCATTCCTAGTTTTCAGGCAAGTGTATTGAGTTTCACAAATTGCTCAGTATTAGCTTTTATCCAATAATTCTTTTTCAATATATTATGGATTGTTCTACAGGTTTGACAGATATGACCTCGAATTGGTCCAATTGTTGATTGTTGTTCTACAGTTTTTTTAGGTGTCACTATATATCTGTTACTTAGCAATGACCATAGAATACTAGCAGTATTACTATTTTTACTACTGGTTTGCGACCAGGCATCAGAATAGGTGTTATTGTCAGTTGTAGTTTCTGACTGTTCTCTATAGTTGATGAAATTGTTTTCTGAAATATTGTTATTGTCACGTGTTTTTTCTTTGTTTATTATTGGTGTAAAAATTATTTTGATATCTTTCTCATCATTTATGTCAATGAGGTCAATGATATATTTCTTTTCAGAAATATATTTTTCTTTGGAAGTAGTAATAGATTCTTCTTCAGAAGTAATAGGTTTCTCTTCAAAGATGGTCAGATTTTTCTCAGGGTTACAGT